CCCCCCCCCCCCCCTGGCCACTGTCGCTGCTCCGGTGTCCCGGGCATGCCGCTCGCGCATTCCCTCTCCCATCCCCCGCAGGCCGTCGCCGCTCCCCTCACCTCCCTCTCTCTCTCTCTCGACACCATGGTCCTTATCCGCGAGTTGTACGCGTCCCTCCGGATGCTTGGCACAGACCAGCGCGCCTTGCACCCTCTTCTACGCATGTGACACACCGCCCGGCGGAGGCCGCCCACACCCCCTCCTCACCCCTCCGGTTCTATGCCTCCCCTCCCTGCCCGCTCCCCTGCCCTTGCCGCGCGCCTCCTCGCCCAGCCGCGTCCCCCTTCCCATCACGGTTGAGGAGGTTCGTGCATCAGCATACGCGCACAGTGCTGCCTGCTCCTTGCCCTTCTCTCTTTCTGCCTCGCTTTCCCTGCCCGGCCCTCTCGCTTCCGACTCACCGCCCATGCGCCGCCTGTCGTCGGGCAATCGCCCCCCCCCCCACCCCCCCACCCCGCGCTCCGCGCCTCCCCCCTGCCACAGTACCAGGTTGCTCAGCTCTTCTCTGTCATCGAGGTCTCGCGCGAGGCCACTGATGGTGACTCCGGTGTGGAGATCCTCAAGAACGAGCCCTTCGACGATGGCGTCAACAAGGGCCAGTACACCCACAAGATCTACCACCTCGGTAGCAAGGTCCCCAAGTTCATCGCCATGATCGCCCCCGCGAGCGCCCTCATGCTCGAGGAGGAGGCCTGGAACTGCTACCCCTACTGCCGCACCGTGCTCACTAGCCCCTTCCTGGGCGAGCGCTTCAAGCTCGTCATCACCACTCAGCACCTGCCCGACCAGGGCACCACCGAGAATGTGCGTGTACCTGCCCTCCCGCTCCCCTCCCCTCCCTCCCCTCGCTCTGCCATGGGCGCCGGGGGGGGGGGGGGGGGGGCCTGCCCGGGCGGAGATTCGCCGACTGACCCCTCCGCGCGGCTGCTGGCCACCACCATCACATGCGCACGCATGCAGGCCCTCTCGTTGGAGGACTCCATGCTCAAGGAGCGCAAGGTTGTCCCGATTGACATCACCGTCGACCCGGAGGTGCGTGCACTACATGCATCCTTGCCATGCTGCGAAGGTTTGCCGCGCCTCCTACGTTCTCCCTGCCCCGCCCTGACAGCCTCCCTCTCTCCGCCCATGTCGCGCACGCACACACGTGTGCACACAGGAGAACTACGATGAGAAGTCCGATCCCAAGAAGTTTGTCTCCAAGAGCGGCCGCGGCCCGTGGTCCGGCAGCGACTGGATCGCCAAGTCCGCCACCATGACCTGCTACAAGCTGGTCGAGATTAAGTTCGCCGTCTTCGGCCTGCAGACCCGCGCCGAGAACTTCATTGCCTCCGTACGCCGCCCGCGCTTGGCCTCCCCCTGTCGGGGGCCATTTCGCCCTTCTCCTCCTTTCCTCTTCGCCCCTCCCTTTGCCGTGGTTGTGCTGTGTGCGCGCTGTGGTGGCGCCTGCTGCTGCTCCCCCACACCTCGAACGGTGGATGTGGCATTCGAGCAAATGAACCCTGATTCTGACATCCGGTGGCGCCCCATATGTGTGTCCCCCTCCCCCCCCCCCTTTCTCCTTCTTTTTTTTTTGGCCTCCGGCTCCCTTGTGCACGCGTGCCCCCAGGCCCAGGAGAACCTGTTCCGCGACTTCCACCGCAAGCTCGTCTGCCAGATGGACAACTGGCAGGGCCTCACCATGGAGGACATCCGTGAGCTTGAGGCTCAGGTCAAGATCGAGCTCGACCAGAAGAAGGCCGAGATGCAGCAGGCTAAGGATTAGACTTTATCTGTGCGTATGCCGCCCTCCGCATGTGCCATGTGCTGTCACATCATGCCCCGCTTGTCTGGCCCTCCCCTCCGGCTGGATTTCGATTGTTGCTGCGTGCCGCCGACTGACCGTTGCCCCTGCCTGTCGTTTGTCGCTCTCGGGGGGCCGATACTCTCCCCCCCTCGGCGGTCGGCCGGCTGGCTCTGCTTCTTCTTTCTTTTTTTTTTTTCTTCCTCCCCCTTCTTCTCTACACTCTCACCCCTGCTCCTTAGCCCGCATCCATGTCGTGTGTAAATACATGGGCATTGTGCCTTGCCAATGACCCACAAATAGTAGACCCTTGTGTGTATGTCCATGTTTGCGCTCACCAGCGCGCGCGCGCGCTCGTGTCTGTGGGGATGTGACTGCGGGGGCCGATGGGGGGTGACGGCGCGGCACAAGGGGGGGAGCACCCAGAGAGGGGGAGAAGGTTGTCAATTCCTCGGTGCTTGTGTGGGGCAAGAAAGAAAAACGCCACTGCTTTCGCCCGGGGGGGTCGCCTGGGAGCAGCTGGCCTCCGAAAGGCGGGGGCCAGCACACAGGGACACACCTGAAACTTCGGGCCTCGCGGGGTCCATGTAAACGCGGCTGATTGGGGGGGGGGGGGGGGGGGCGACCTACGCCCCCTTCCCCCACCCTGCCGCCTCCTTCCTCGCCGGGTAGTTAAGTCCCCACATTGTCACGCATCCTGTCCTCCGGTGAGCGTGCACATTTGCCCCTCCCTGCTGGATTGCCGCCCCCCTGGGTGCGTGCTGAAGGATCAGGCGCATTCGATGGCCGGCATCGAGCCATTTCTCCGCCGCGCGGCCCCTCTGTGTGGACGCACGCGGCTTCTTCCTCCTCTTTTCGCTTGGACGGGGAGGAGGGCATTTTGATTTGTATATTTATAAAAAACATGTGGGTTTTCTGAGTGTTTAATGAGAGGGAGAGAGAGAGAGGAGGGAAGAGGGAGGGG